GAGACTTTGCCAAGTCGGGGATGAGTGAAAGGCTGGTGACACAGGAAGATCACGTCGGGGTCACCAAATGTGAAGTTTCCGCTGTTCGCCCATGAGGCCAATGTTGAGAAAAGACAGGAGACAAATTTTCTCGGGATGGAGCGACCCAGATGAGAACCTGAGAGCCCCTTTTATTGAGATAGAACAAAGGCAGGAGGAGCAATAGCATGTGATTAAAAACAGCCTGTAAAAGTACAATTTCTAATCTACTGCTCAGCGAAGTTCTGTCTATATATGGTCATATTCTGGTCAGGATCCTGGTCAGGATGTTTTGTTATGGACTATCAGGATGTTATGTTCTGCACTATCAGGATATCAGGATGTTATGGAGTTCTAGGAGTTTGTTTTCTCCTGTGTGATTCAGTGTGGCTTTGCATGCCCTAGTATGAACTAGGCCATGGAGGACACACACCTACACAAGGAACTATATTACAACAATCTGGGAGTGAACACTGAATGACTTGGTACTGAAAAGATTTGCCATCACTGGTCTAGTATTTAAGGCACCAGGATAGAAAGCAGAAGACTATAAGTTCTAACCCTGCCATGGCCATGAAAGGCAGCTGGAGGACTTAGGGCTAGTCACTCTCTTTCAGCTTAATCCACCTCACAGGGTTGTCATCATGAGGAAAATAGGAGGAAGGTGCATTAGGTATGTTCACTGCCTTGAATTATTTCTAAAAGTAATAAAGGCAGAACACAAATAAATAAAGCTTCTTATGCAGACAATCCAGTTCTAAAATGGCTAATTTTCTGTGGAATCAAAAACATTTTAAAAATTTATTTTCAGTTTACAATATTTTCTTCCCGGATGTTTAAAGTTGAATCTTTTTTTCTGTAGAAAATTCCCTGAACATTTTGATTATAAATACTTGGAAAAAAGGAAGAGTTGGCAAAGTTTTGTATGTGCTACAACAGATAATTTGACACCAATAATTTTAAATAATTTTAGAGTTTTGAGAAAATTTATACATCTGCTTTTTTTTTTTAAAGTTAACTTTTCTTGTGGTCCCAAAGTAAAGAAAGAAAAAGGATATATGTCAATATAATCTTAAATACCTGATAACTCACACATCATTTTCTTTTTTTTTCTTTTTTCAGAATTGCTGCATCATGATCATGACTGAAAGTGTTGATTCTCTAGTTGCTGTTTCCAGCCAAGACCTCTGGACTGAAATCTGTTCATCTCTGCCACATCCAGATCAGAATGAAGAGTCCAATAATGCATTTGCAGATTCCTTTGCAGATTCTTACATTCATGTGATGGAGAATCAGATGGAAGTAACAGGCCCCTCTCTGCAAGTGAATGAGAAGCCCTGGGTACCATTGAAAGATTCAGAGCTCTACTTGGCCTCTTTAGGTCAGTATCGAAGTATTTTCTAATCTAGGATTTTTCACAGGAGTTGGTACTTTCTTCAACCTGGATGTGTGAGACTTTGAATCCTACAATCGCAGCTACAGCAAATGATATTGTTGGGAGGATCATGTACCACAGAGAATGTTGAATCTACCCATATGTATTTTTCGGAGTATAAGACGCACCTTTTTCCCTCAAAAAAGAGGCTGAAAATCTGGGTGCGTCATACACTGAATACAACATTTTTTTGCCCCCTTCACCAAAATGGCCATGCATAGCCTTTAAGAGGCTTCCAGAGAGCTCCTGGGGGCTGGGGAGGGCAGAAATGAGCAAAAAATGGGCAGTTTTTTGCTCAATTTTGCCCCTCCCCCAGGAGCACTCTATAAGCTTCCTAATGCCCTTTTTTTGGACAAAAATGGGGCCATTTTTGCAAAAAACGGGCCCCCCCCCCCCCCCCCGAACACTCTATAAGCCTCCTAAGGGATATTCATGCCCTTTTTTGGGTGGGGGGAACGGGCCCGTTTTCGGGAGGTTTGTAGAGTGCAATTTTTTTTTTAAAAAAATTGCCTCTTCAAAACCTTGGTGCGTCTTACACTGGTCCATTTTATACTCTGAAAAATACGGTATCTCTTCTGACACATATTTGTATATAATTTTAAAGCAGTGTTTTTCAAACTTGGCAATTTAAACAGGTGTGGACTAGAATTTCACAGCAAGCATGTGTGAGGAATACTGGGAGCTGAAATGCACATATTGTTTATAGTTGTCAAGCTATTAAAAAAATACTGCCTTAAAGGATTATGGTTAAAGTCTTTAAGCCTGATAGAGATGCACTTTTTAAACAGTACATCTGTGAGGTTCATCAGTTGCATAAGTGATTATTTTGTACTTTCACATTTTTCTGGATATTGTCTGATAATCTGTGACATCAGAAAGATTACCATTTTATTTTTAAGATTTGTGACACTAAGGTTTATCGCATTTTTCTAGCTGAAATTTTACAGAGATGCGAAAGAAAAATCACCGCCTATTTTATCTAATTTGGTTTTTTGATGAAACTGTGAGAAATATAACTGAAGTTATCATCTTTTTCAATAATTTGCATGTTGAAAAAAAAAAGAAATCTAATCTATCAGCCAATTGGGAGAAAGAAGAATGGGCATTCTTCTTAATGTGGATGAAATTCCTAAAGAATGTAAAGATTTCTATTCCACTTTTTCCTGTCTGCTGTGCATGTAATGATGTCCATTTTTCTCATGAAATATTTGTAGGAATAATTAGGAGTCATGATCCTTACAGGAGAGTAAAACTCTTTCTTCTTTTAAATCTAAATGCCACTTTGATGCACAGGTTTCTCAAAGTAAATTCTGATTTGGATTTGGGCAGTAAAAGAAAAAAATTTAAAACAATGGCTTGGTCCACCCTGATAGTTTTTTTATCCAGTCTCCAACAAAATAAAGCTCTGACATGAAGCTTTGACATTAAAAGGGTCTGTCAGAGTATGCACACTGTTGTCAGCGGCCAGAGGAGTTGGCAGCAGATTCAGACAGTGAAGAGGTTGGGGAGGAACACGGGCCAGTCCTGGAGTCTGGGGAAGGCTCTGATGAGGGCTCTGTGTCGAAAACAGAGAGGAGGCCAGAGCCATATACCAGTTATCAGCTGCCTTCAGAGTAAGACATCAGTGAGGCAGACAAACAGCTGGAGCCTGTTCCCAGTGAGTGCATGTGTAGAGTTGCCAGACGAAGGGAACAGCTAAAGAACAGGAGTCAACTTGGGAGTAAGGAGTGGACAATGGCCACAGGTGGACGATGAATGGCTCCTACCAGAGGAAATAAAAGAGGAGCAAAAGTGGAGTGAAGTTTGCAGGAGACAAGTAGTTCACTTAATTGGTTCTTGACTCTCCGAGATTCCTTGCCAAGTTTGGCAGATATTGGCAGTTCTCCAAGCCAGATAAGGTCTGTGACTGTAAATCCTCTCTTGAAAGACTTTGCTGAATGAGCAGAATTCACAGTAAATTAATAAAAAGGGGTTTTTGTCAGGACAAGGAGTTTGCTTCATGCTCTTGGGAAGCCTAGGTCAAAACAACTGTTAATATGGTTACAATTTATACAAAACCTCAAGAGTAGAACTGAACATTTCTCGCTTTAACCTGCCCACTGGTTTTCATTTCCCTACAGAGTGCATTCTTCCTTTATCAGTTTGTTTCTTTCCTCAGAGAGAAGATTAATGAGAATAAAGGGTTTGTCTCAGGAAGTGACATCCAAAGATATCCTGCATACACTTTCTCAGGCTAAGAAAGAAAGTTGGGACAGGTTTCTGCAGGAGAAGTCCGAATCTGACTTTTATTTGGAGGGAACAGATTCTGATGAGAGGTAATGCTTGTGTAATAAATATTTTATACGTAACACCTCTTTTTAATATTTGTCTTGTAGAAATTTCAAGTGTTATGGGGGAAAGGATATTTTGGGGGATTTATTTATACTGTAGGGGCTTCTTTTACACCTAAGAATGTTTTTAGGGACAAAGGTCAGCTCGAAGTACGCTTAGAAGGAGCTCCAATTGAATTCTACAAATACCGTATGTCTTACTTTCTTACTTATCCCAACCAAAAACGTATTTCCATTTCCACATGTGCAAGATTGGGACTAATATTTGTGGCTAATCTGGGGAAATGATGGCATGTGTTTTGGATACTTTGTGAGTGAGATGCCATTAAATCAAGCTTGCTTTCTGGTGACTCTGGACAATTACCATCTCAACATGTCTGTTTAACCTGCAGTTGTATTACAGATGTTCCTGTAAGGTTTTTTTTTTTAATCCTCTTTGTCTACCTTATCTGTAATCTTCCCCTTCTATTTTCATTCAAATCTAAGCATTTTATTTCGTTCATTGCCTGCTTGTAACACAGGTACCAAAGATTAAAAGTTTCTGCTTGCTGTTCATTAAGTTGAAGTGACTAGCAAGTGATTGATTGGTTCTTCTTGCAGTCCAACATCCTCTTAATTATGGATTACAAATCTGTAATTCAAAACTACCTGCTTTCTTTCATTTTATTCTCAATGCTCAATTACTGGAAAACCTTTGGGGGAAAAAACTGTTGTTTTAACTCGGGAGTTTCTCATCCTTGGCAATGTGAAGATGTGTGGACTTCAACTTCCAGAATTCTCCAACCAGCCTTTGCATCTAAACATTGCTAAGGTTGAATAATACTGTTTTAACTCTACTGAAGTTTGTTTTCAAAATATCATTATCCTTCATTAACTGGGTAAGTGTTGCTGCCTTTCCCTGTAGTGTTAGTTTCCTCCTTTTTTCCATTTTCAAGATTCCAGGTTCTCAGCACATACAATACAGGCTATTCTGCACTTCTCCCAAAGCTATTTTTTTTAAAAATAATAACATTTCTACCCACCTATGTACCGTATTTTTCAGAGTATAAGAGGCAGCTTTTTTCCTCAAAAAAGAGGCTGAAAATCTGGGTGTGTCTTATACACTGAATGCAGCATTTTTTGCCTCCCGAAACCCTGCCTCCTTCACCAAAATGGCCATTTATAGCTTGTAGGAGGCTCTCAAGAGCTCCTGGGGGCTGGGGAGGGCAGAAATAAGCAAACCACGGCCTGTTTTTTGCTCAATTTTGCCCCCACCCCAGGAGCATTCCCACTTTCCTGGCCTTCCTGAAAGCCATTAAAACCTGGCTGTTCCGGCAGGCCTGGGGCTGTTGACCCCTAAATACGGTCCAGCCCCATTTAGAACGGAGTGCATGGTGTGCTGTTTTAAAATCTATCTTTTCTTTCCATTTATTTATTTATTTATTTATTTATTTATTTATTTATTTATTTATTTATTTATTTATTTCTGTACTGTAAGCCGCCCAGAGTCCTACGGGATTGGGCAGCATATAAATGTTATTAAACTTACAAACTTGCATTCCATAAGCTTCCTAAATGCCCTTTTTTGACAAAAATGGGCCCATTTTCACAATAAATACTCCCAAAAAATACAGTATATAGAGATATATTTCTGTTTACATATTATGCAAAAACACATATCCCTGTTTCTCCAGTGATGGCGAACGTTTCTCTGCTCGGGTGCCAAAAGGGTGCGCGTGCATGTGATAGTGTGTGCGTGCCCACACCCATAATGCAATGCCCTCCCCCTGTACATGTGCGCACAACCCTTGTGCATGGGCGCAAGCCTCACTGAAGCCTCTGGACTTCCGGTAGGCCCGTTGGACTGTTTTTCGCCTTCCCCATGCTTCATGAAAGCCTCCGGAGCCTGTGGATGGCGTAAAATGGGCCCAACAGGCCTACTGGAAGTTCAGAAACCAACTTCTGGTACCGTTTTTCATCATCCACAGGCTCCAGAGACTTTCCTGAAGCCTAGGGAGGGCGAAAACGACCTTCCCTCCTCCCTTTGGAAAGCTGAAAATCAGCTGGCCAGCACCGCATGCGTGCTGGAGTTGACATAGGACAACGTTTTGCATGCCCTCAGATATGCCCTCCAGCCATAGGTTCACCATCATGGTCCTACCCGCTTCAACCACCCTCTTCCACTCCCAAACTTTTCTGAATACATTGCTGGCTTTTCTATGTTTCTGACTGCTTGACTGCTTTTCCCTACTGCTCTTTCTTAGTTCAACTAGGCTGATATTTCTTCTTTTCAGTTTTGGGTAGCAGCCTGGTTAGCATTTTCAAAGCCAGTGAGACTGCACTAGCATGTGATAACAAAAATAAAAACCTGTTTTATTTTATTGCACCCTTTTCTCTTTCCTGTATGGGATTGAAAAAAATGCCCCTGAACTAGTGAAAAATAAATTAGAACGTGCATATTGGGTAAAACCTGCACGTTTCACAATTTGCATTTTACGTCTCGAAGCTTTTGTTCAAGGAAATTGAAATAATGAACAAGCCCTTCTAGTTTGCAAAAACCCAGTTCTATTATTATTTTTTCTTTGATTTTGCTAAGCAATTACTGTGGTCCTGTTACCTGGGAAATCTGGTTTCACAAGTGAATGTTTTCTTCTTCACTTTTCTACAGACTTGTTAAATTAGAGTCCTAGGGGAGAAGTTGTCTTGATTTGACTCTTGACATTTTGTAAACTTCTTTGAATGTTCGTGGTAGAAACATTATTTAAATAGGAAACTAAGTTGTCATTATCCGTGTGTTTGTGTGTGTGTATGTGTGTGTATGTATGTATGTTTGTGTGTGTGTTCAATTTGCTATGCATTCCATTGGGAGCAAATATTGGGACTCTGCTCCCATGAGACTTTGCAGCAGCAGAAAAACATTAATTTTAAGCAAAGCCTTGACTTCTCTTTTGAACATAGGAAGGCTATAAATGTAACACTGTAAAAAAAAATAATTTAAAAATACAATTTACATTTATAGCCTTCCTATATTCAAAAGAAAAGTCAAGGCATTTAATGTGCTGCTTCTTCCTATTCCATTCTCATAATAACCCTGTGAACTAACTGGTCTTGAGGAACTGACCTAGTTCACCAAGTGACAGTCTGCTTAACCATATTATTAGCTATGCTATGATTACTGTAGCCGGCGTTGTGATAAGTCAGTATGGGAGTTTCCAGACCATAATGGCTTAATTCCCATAATCTTATCAGGGTTCAGCATGACCAAATGGGGGAGTCTACTGGAATTTTCAGAGAAGGTATATTTCAGAAACAGATTCTGCCCTTGCATACATGAATGAATAGTTTAATCATTGCCTGTTTCAGGGGTAATTAGTCTTGCTCAACTACAAGCTCATGTGAGTTTGAAGCGAACCTCATGGTCATATTCAGAAAATAACTACCTTGGGAGATTTGCCTACTGACAAAAATGGCTGATATGGACAGTCACAAACCAACTTTTTCCAAGAAAGAAACTATCTTTCTATGATCTTTGTCAGACCCTGATCTGCTGAAGCATGCTAGCAAGTAAATTGTAGTTTTGTTTGCTTATTTTTTAAAATTGGTGCAGAAAGCCTGATGTACTAATCCAGGGGTCGGCAACCTTAAACACTCAAAAGACCCATTTCCCACAAAAAAGAAAATACCGGGAACCACAAATCCCTTCCGGTGCCTGACTATTTCCTGAGCACCCACAAAACCAGAATGTGTATTTGAATTAAAGGTTCTGTTTTCTTCTGAAACTTTTCCTCTCTTGGATTTATCCATGATTGGGTTACTGGGGGTCGAAAAGCTCAATAAATTGTGTGCTGGTGGGTGTCGCACATTGGCAATTGTGACACATGTTTTGAGCTACAGAGAGCCGCAGCAGAGGGATGAAAGAGCCACATGTGGCTCCAGTCCAGAGGCACGGGTTGCTGGCCCCTGTACTAATCTAAAGTCCTTTATTGGTGACTGTAGGCTCCATATTGTTAGCGCCTGTCTTATTTATTTACTGTGAACTGCTCTTGTAACCTTTCTGTTCTGCTTCTTCTCAGTACTTTGGAATACTTGAAACGTTGGCTACAACCAGAGAAGGTGGCCGTCAGCAGTGAGGAGATCCAGTATCTCATCCCTCTTGGAGCTCCTCCTGAGAAGCAAGAGGCTGGAGAAGATGAAGAACCTGCGCCTGTAGAACAGTGAATGCACTCGGATCTCGCTTGCAGCACGGATGGCTGTTGGCACGTTGGGTGAAAATACCAAAAGAAGGATAGAGTTTGTTTGAAATAGACCTTGTGGATTTTTTCTCTCCACCAAAGTTTATAATGTACAGATTCTGATTTAAAGTCATACGTAATGTTGCAGATTTTAATTAATTGTGTATAATTGGTTAAGACGACGAAACGTGATAGAATAACTTAATTTGGCAAACAGGTTTAAATCCTCTTCCTTCAAATGCAGAGAAGATTTTGCAGTTAAATGATCATCTATGGAAAAATTCTTAGCAATACTTTCCTCGCAGAATATAATTCCATCATTCACATCTCCCCTGATTTACCCACAGGTATCTTTTTCCCAACTTGGGAAAAAAAAACCTCCGAAGATCTGTACCTTTTCCCCTGGGAAGTGAAAAATGTCTGCCATGATTTTTTTGGGCTAAAAGTTGAGCCACACCACTGCAGTTTCATCCTTGGGTGGAATAAGCACCTCCTAGCAAAAACACAAGAAATGCTGGGTAGAAAAAAATTGTCCTACTTTGTGTAGCTTTTTTCTGTTATGGCTATTTCTTTTTTTTATCATTCATTTCATCTAAGGATTGATACCATCTTTTCATTTTTTTATTTTTTGCTTTGGGCTAATACTTATCCACACTTTTTCTTCCTCTTATTTCTTTTGCTGCAAAAAGTAAAAGACAATGCATAATGAAGAAAAAACCCCAGAGCTGTCAGTTGAATGAAGAAGACAAAGTTTGATATAAGGGCAGAACAGAAATGCAAGTTTTTGTAGTAACTTTCCCATTTTGGAGTTTTTTGGGGGGTGGGTGGGGGAAGACTGCTAGGAGGTCATTCTCCCATTCAATGCTATAACATAGCTTTGGTCTTTCTCTCTCCCCCTTTTTTAATCACCAGGCCTTTATAGTTTTTGCATCCAACCCTTCTTTTCATTGGTTTGCTGTCCACTATATGCTGTTTGGACGTTTTTTTTTTTTAATGCTTTTTCTTTTCTATTTCCATGGAAATTATCATTAACAACTATATATGGAAAAAAATGAGGACAGCCGCTATCTGAATTTCATTGTTTACCAATTGGCAAAGTTATGTAGTCAAATCTGAGTGGCTACATGCCACCTTGATAGGTCTGAGTAAGGAGAAAAACAACTCATTTTTAAAAAAAGAGTGCAACAATTATTTGCGTTGGTTTAGCTGTAAGACAGCATATAATTATATTGGGCAAGTGATATGATACTCCCACTGTGGGGTTTTGTTCTTTTTTGCACTGAAATTCTCAACTGGAAGTTCTGATGTCTGTTTAAATGCAGGTCATTGTTATTTCTTCTCTAAAATTGAAGAGATATCTTGTTTTATGAAACAGATCAGGAAATAAAAATTCACCAAATGTATTAGACAAAATGTTGAAAACTTGAGAAGTTTACATATTATTTCTTTACTGAATTGATTTCAAATGTAGCCAAACTGGATTTTCTGAATCTGGAAATATAATATGAATAGTGGATTGTATAGTTTGATTTTGCTTTGTCTGTAATCTGAATATTGTCTACTTGTATAATTAAGACTTTAAAAGTTGATTGTGATGTTTTCTGTCTACATCCAGTGGAAAATATATATCTTTGTGTAGATGAATTTGGGGTGATTTGGTAAATGTTTTAGAATAGAGATGACTCACCAAACTATTTTTTCACAGAGAAATAGGTGCATTTTGGCTGGTGTAAAAGAGCAAAAATGAAGCATGTAAACATTTGTTTGTTATTAATCAAAGAATGAAACCCCAATCCACAAACACTCACTCTCTTCGCTAATGTCATTGTGTCTATATAGCTTATAGTCACCCAAAAATATCAAACAAAAATTGTGGGGCGATTGACCTGGCTATTTTAGAATTGGTCCCATGCACCTCTGTGCAATGAATCCTGCAAACAGGTGCATGGGACCAGAGGTGGGAGCCTACCAGTGTAACAACTGGTTCGCTTTGCGCGCACATGCCTGACGTGCGCTACACATGCATGCACAGTTCCCAATCACTCCAATGAACAGCTGATTACACAGCAGGGATAGTGGCGATTGCGCATGTGCATGTGTGTGCAGTTTGTTGTTTCCCGATAAAAACAGTTATGGAGCAGGGACGAGCAGGCGGCCGCAAACTGGTTCACTCTCCGCTGCTTACCAGAACTACCGGTTCGCCTGAACCGGTCTGAACCAGTAGAATCCCACACCTGCATGGGACTGATCCTTAGAAAAGAAAAGAAGATTGTTCTGAATATTTCTATGTGGATCTGATATTTAAATTGTCACTGTTTTCAGAAATTCTTGCGAGGCCAAATAATTGAGTTGTAAGATGGATACTGAACAGTGGTGGGATTCAAACTACTGGTTCTGTGGGTGTGGCTTTGTGAGTGTGGCAGGGGAAGGATATTGCATAATCCCCATTTTCTCCCCACTCCCAAAATTTACGCTACGAGTTCTCCAAAACCTGTCAGAACTGGCTGAATATCACCTCTGATACCGAAGCAGGAGAATACTAAGTGTCCAAGTGTTAATGTAAAAAAAAAAGGCAGATCACCGACAGGAGAATAATTGTTAGTTATGCGAAAGTCCCTGTTGCTTGAATTCGTGTGAACCAGCCAATGTTGAGTAGTTACATGAATCAGAAACTGGCAAAGGAAAAAAAAACACCTTGGCACCTTTGTGCTTCTCATTTCCATAATCAGAACATTATAGTAGAATGGAAAGCTCTCTGAATAATTATAAGCACACTACTGTAGGTGGCTTGTGTAAAGAACATTTGAAAACATGAGCAAAAAAGGACTAGAACAAGGTCGCTATGCCCCAAGTACTCTAAATGCTTACGATGTTTACAGTACTAATTACAATTGTGCATGATTTCTGGCTAAATGTAAATGGCAGAGCAATTAACGAAGCAATTTCCAAATTCACTGGGAAATCGTTATCTTTATTGACAAGTCAACTAGGACTCATTCAAATGATGAGTGGGGTACGGTTTAAGATATAAGGTTAGTATTAATAACAGCAATTAACACAGATTGAAAAAACACATCCATCAAAATCCCCACATGGATCATTGTTGATGGATATTTTGTACCTTCAGAATCCTTGATATTTAGCCAAGAATTTTAGAAAGTCTGCAAACAGGCCATTTCTGCAACCAGAAATGTTTAGAAATATATTATTTTTGAAGTTACAACTAACTAGTCCTTGATTTATAACCATAATTGAGCCTGTTGAGTTTGGTCATGTCATGACAGCTTATGTAAGTAGGTCAAGTGGCCATACCTGACTTTACAACCTTTTTGCAGCAGTCATTAAATGAACGCTATAGGCATTAAACAAACCCATTGTTTGCTATGGGGTGTTTTTTGCTGGAAACCAGAAGTAAATGTGGGTTTCAATCAAAAACATCATAAATTGTGGTCTTATAACTATGGGGTGCTACAAATGGCCACAAATATGACTGGTTGCTAGTTGGCCAAAATATCGTGTGACCATGGGAAGGCAAATCTGGGTTATAAATCCCTTTTGGAGATGTCTGTCCTAGTTTTGAACAATAAGGCCAAGTGATTGTTGAAATGCCTGCTAACTAGTCAGGAAAAGATGTCAAAAATCTGCCTAATTTCCTTATATGTACATCCATCAAAAGATATTTCTGAAGCATGGAATCCATCACTGTGATGAATTACTGTGATGGTGTTGCCCATGAAAATGCTCAGAAGCTACAGCTGGTCCAGAATGCAATGGTGTGAGCAGTGATGGGTGTGCTAGAGTAAGCCAGTGTGACACAATTCTGCAAACTGCACTGGTTACCAGTTGACTTCTGGGTGCAATTCAAGGTGTTGGTTATCACCTCTAAAGCTTTTGATGCCATGTGGCCTGACTATTTGAGGAACTGCCTGTTTCCAGTTCTTTCTGGCCATCCAGAGTGATCAGATGGGATAATCATGCTCCGGCTCCCATGTAAGTAGAGTCACCTTGTAGGGCCCAGGAGACACGCCTTCTCTGTCATGGCACCTGCCTTCTGGAATGACATCCAGAGATCAGAAAGCCACTAAAGATCTGGCTATAGTCTACAGCTTCACGTCAGAGCAGCAATTGAGCTCATGTTGGATGGTGATATATTCTTTCTGGAACCATTTGTGATTCCACTTTGTCCTTTTAAAAAAACATTTAATTGTAAGTTTCCCAGGGTCTTATTTTCCTATTGGGCAGGGGGTGCATGCTTCAAGTAACTGAGAGTGAAACAAGCAGTGGGTAAGGCCAGAAGAAAAAGAAGTGGGAAGAACTTCCCAATACCTTTTCCCATGCTTTTGAAACTCTCATTTCATTCCCAGGAAGCAGACAATAAAATCTCACCAATGCTCTGAATTAATATATCTTGCAACAGGGTTTAGAAAAGAGGCCGAGAGCTATGTAAAATTAGCGTGACGCTTATGTCCTCTGTTTGATTCTAAGAAATATTAATCATGTTGATATCCGTGCATCTACTTTGAAGAGTCCTTTGTTCTGTTGAAAGGGGAGGTGAGGGAAATTATTCTGATTTATTTAACTAATATGTATCAATCCCTAATATGGAACTGTAGAGCAGGGAAGAGCAACCGTCAGCCTCAGGCAGAGGAACAGAAGGCTCACTCGGCTTTAATCGCTTCTCAGTTGATCAAGAATCAACCCAACTGCTTCCTTTTTATTGAATTCTATTTTAATGTCATTATTACCCTCCCATTACATTTTCTGAGACCTTCTGGGGAGTGGGCATAACAAATGGACCAGTGGTGGGATTCAAATGTTTTTACTACTGGTTCTGTGGGTGTGGCTTGATGGGTGTGGCATGGCTTGGTGGGTGTGGCTTGTGGGCGTGGCAGGGGAAGGATACTGTAAAATCTCCATTCCCACCCCAGTCCAGGGGAAGGTTACTGCAAAATTTCCATTCCCTCGCGATCAGCTGGGATTCGGGAGATAGAGAATAGAAGGGGGTGGGGCCAGTCAGAGGTGGTATTTACTGGTTCTCTGAACTACTCAAAATTTCTGCTACTGGTTCTCCAGAACTGGTCAGAACCTGCTGAATACCACCTCACAATTGGACCTCCTCCATCGTCATCTTTGGCAAATACCTCCCCCTCCCGGAATGAAACTTGATCTCTCCTTTTCTCATATTCCACAAAGCATGTAAGATCCTTTTATTCCATGGTGCATTTGGTTCTGATTAGTCCTGAGTGTCCATTAAAAGTAAATAGATTTTTTTTTATTTTTGTATTTCATGATTGCTTTTTCGTTAATGTCCAATTGCTCCTTGTTAAAAATTCCGAGAATCTGCATAGATTATAGCAGCTGACTTCTAATAAATAATTGTTTTTGTATAAATGGCAAATAGTTGAAAATTGAAACAATAGTGCTCTTTATATTATACAATAAAAAGGAAAGTAGGCATGACATTGTGTGTCATTTCGGTATTTCATGAAATGAGACAACTTTCCAATAACAGCATCAATTAGCTGTTATGCTTAGATAAACTGAGCCTATTTTGTTATTTGTTCATCATGCCGAATTATCTTTATATAAACATGCTGATGCAGTTGTACTCTTCAAACTTAACAGCTATTTATCCTCCTAAGTACACAAGTGATTAAGATCGACTTGAAAGGAAAGCTTTCAATATCTTCCTAAGATGCTGTTTAATAGAATTTAATAGAAAAGGCAATAGGAAATGTTGATTACTTTTAAAGAATATGGAATACCATAGAAATCACCTGCATCTGAAAGCTGTGCAGATTAAATATTTAATTGATAAATATATTTCAATTTTGACTAATTTCATTTTGGGGTTTAAAAATAGGCAGAAGGAAATATAAGCATAGATTTCCATGTGTCCATTGTTCTTTCCTGCAGTGAAGTAAGAATTTTCCAGTTACATTTCACTGAAAGGAAGGCATTTTTCAAAGGTCTTCTCTTTGCCTTTCCTCTGTTCGATTTGGTTCAAACTGTTTCAGTCAATGAATTTGAGAACAATAAAATCACAGCAAATTTAGTGGAAGGGTCAAACATATCTTGTGGGGTGTGTGTGTGGGAGAAAGGGGGAGGGGGAGGGAGAAGGCGAGAGAGAGAGGGAGGGAGGGAGGGAGGAAGGGAGAGATCCCTTATTATCTCTATGGGTAGTATATGTCTTCCACAATCTTGAGTCCTCTACAAGAGGCCTGGGAATTTGAGGTTTTTGTGAAAACGGGCCATTTTTTGCTCGTTTTTTTGAGGGGCACCTTCCCAGGAGGTTATTTATGCCTTTTTTTAAAAAAAAATGGGCCCATTTTCATGATAAACGGGCCATTTTTGGGAGGTTTGCAGAATGTAAAATCTTTTTCCCCCTTTTGGAAAGCTCTTTAACTGATTGATGAGAATTACATTGATCAAGTGCTGAGCCAGCAGAAACAAAGTCTTAAGTGCTGCAGATTGTCAGTGATTTCCTTCTCCAACACATGGATAAATATACCTGGAAACATCTACGTACCTACTCTCTCTCCCTACCTATCTCCTGTATTTCTATCTCTCCCTACCTACTCTCTCTCTCCCCCAA